CCTCATCATCAGTCAAAGAGTAAACTCAAGCTTGTCCTCCAGTCCTCTGTGGGTTTTGCTGCTGCTGGGTCTGTCCCTGGTTCTGGCACCTCGGTTCGGGACACATGTTGGCAAAATGTCCCTTCCTCTGACAGTTATAACATGTCTTCTGAGTGGCTCGACACTCTCCTGCTAGATGGGGAACACCACAAGCTCCACAGCGTGGCTGTCTGATTGGTACCTGACGGATAGGCTGGGCTGCTTGAGCTGGGGGACGATCGTCGCGTCGACCAGTATCTCTATGCTTGTTCTTCTTATAGTCCTAATAACGATCGAACTGTCTTTTCTTGCCTGAGCTAGAAGCGGGATGCATGGTAGTGATAGGCTGAACAACGTTGGTAGCATGCTGGAAAGATGGAGCAGGTGCACCCATGGCCTGACAACTCTTGATCTGCTGAGCCCCGATAACCATCTCAACATACGGTAGATTCCTGGGACTCGCTACATGAATCCGGATGTCCGGTCGGAGCCCATTCCAGAATTTGGTGGCCTTCTTCACCTCCATTTCAACCAGGTGGCAAGCAAAAGAACACATGCGAGTGAAGGTCCTCGCGTACTCTTCAACTATCATAGTCCCCTAACGCAAATCCCATAATTCGTGCTCCATCTGGTCGTGGTAGCTCTGGGAGAGGTACTGCTCGGTGATGATCTCCTTCATTCGCACCCAAGCCAACGCAGTGCGCTCATTTTCTTGCCTCAACAGCCAGTATTATGTCCACCAATCTCCAGCGTCGCCGCTGAGCTGGAATTCAACGCACGTGATACGCTGAACCTCGGAACACAAAAGCACCTTGAAGATCCGATCGAGCTTACTCACTTGGCTACTGTATTCGGGCCCTCAACCTCGGTGAAAATCGGCGGTTGCTTGTTCCGGAATTGCACCTTTATCTGAGTATAATCTTCACCCGGCGTGGGTGGAGCCTGCTAAGCATTGTGGTCAACAGCTCGGCGAGGAGGCATAACTATAAACAAGATAAGCTCGATCAGTTAAACAAGGATAACTCACCAACTAAAATTCAAATTAAAACAAGGAGGATAAATTCATAAGCCCCAAATTATACAGTTTTTTTTTATTTTTTATTTTTTATTTTTTTTCGAAACGATAGAGGTACTATATTAATAAAAAAAACCTCACAAAGTGCGAAGAGAAAGCAGGCAAAGACTGAATAGTTCAACCAAAGACAAGAAAACTGGGAGGCTGATCTAGAGATCGCCTAGAGCCGACCCCAATGGGGTAATACTCGAGAAACACACAAAAAAAACACAACCACACTAAACCAACTACACAAACAAAAACTAAACAAGACCCCAACAGAGTAATATCCGAGTGTCGGACCCCCACAGAGTAATAAATTTGACACCCGAGCGCACAGAGGCCAACTGCCCAAATCTAAAACACAATCACAAACACTTAAAACAAACACAGACAGAAAAACCAACAAAAAAACAACTAAAAAACACACAAACACAAGCCCTCCCTCAACAGCAACTCCTAACCAGACTAGCAGCCACCAAATCGACCCAGCAGTCACCCACCGCTTGAGATAAACGGCCCCTCCACTGCAATTAAGCCTAGCTGAATCGCAACTCAAATCACGAGCCCCACCTAAAGCCAATTCTCCCCCATACCAGAAATACCAAGAAACTCCCAACACAGCCCACCAAGCCCCCTAACACCACTAGCAGGCTCAGAAGAACCGAGAACCCCGAATCCCAAACACAGGGAACCGGAAGATAGGAGCTGTCTCAATACCGCAACCTCAGCCCCACCATCTCGAAAGCCAAAAGAGCCTGAGCCACTCAAGAGCCCAACCTTCTAACCACCGAACACTGCCAGACGCAGGCAAAGAAAACCGAGACAGGAGCGACTAGAAGGAAACTCACCCTCAATCGAGAACGGCAAAATCGTCGACCAAAAGCTCACCGCCTTCACACAACAATCAGCCGGCGAAAAAGATCAAAGCATTCCGACGGCTCCTGCACCCCACAGCGACCGGAAAGCACGCCGTCGAAGTCGAATTCGGGGAGAGGGAGAAGACAGCCTGATAAACCCAAGACATCCAACCTGAGAAGATGGACCGCCGAGGCCGCACCCGACCCTGTCGCTAAGCTCCGCGACTCAAGGTCTCTCCTTAGGACCGAAGTGGTCGGATATGGCGAACCCTAACCTAATTTCCAGAGAAAGCGAAATTGGCACCACAAGGACCATCGACGCCAGAGGCAACTTGGTCGCGGCATCAGGGAGGGTCGGGCGGCGAGGGGGAGACCACCGGAGAGGTCGAAGCCGAGAGAGAGGCGTCGATTTAAGAGAGTAGCAACGGGAAGAGCAGGGTTTTAACAAACAAATAATCACATACCTTGAGCTGGCGCGGCATGACGAAGACGAGTGGTCATGAACATAAACCCTTAGAATAATTTTCAAAAGCAGTCTACAGAAATGGTCATTAACATAAACCCTTAGAAAAATTTTCAAAAGCAGTCTACAGAAACGTAGAACTGCTCTGATACCACACTGTAATGCCTTGTTGTTTTTAAAAGAAAAATACCAAAATTTTCTAAAAAGCAGAGTTAAATTGTCGCAAATCATTTTAAATTTGAAATCGATTACCGGGCATTACTCAATCCAAACTCAATATATAAGATTACGTACCAACTCAAGCCATTGGGAATAAATCATCCTGAATCAACACTTAACCACATATTCAGACCAGACATAATATGGCATGCTCATCAATAAGACTCGAAAACAATATCTAATACTTAGTTCAAAACCAAAAACCAAGTCACGCTCATCAATTCAATCCATAATCGAAACATATTCTCTAAAACAATCATATAAGTCTGGAAAAAAGATAACAATAAGCGAAAGCATAAAAGCAATTCATAATAACAGATAATAATGACCCCACTAGCCCGTCTTGTGCCACGACCACCAGCTCAACCTGAAAAAGGAGAAATAGTTGGGGTAAGCAAACAATAAGCTCACTGTGAGAATACCATGCAGTATATTCAATATAATGATTTAAAATCATAATTGCAACATGGACATAAATCACCTAGTCGACCTCCTATACAACCCTAATATCTCATGTGCACACACAGCTCATGTCGGCATAACCCCTCGGCAGTAGACTAACCACTAGCATAACCCCTCATTGGGAGCAGTACTCAACAGGCATAATAATAGGATGCCGCCGTCATAACCCATCGGCGGGTGAAACACGCATAGACTAGTGGTTCACATGCATACATTGATTATCAAGCCAAGCAATTATAAAGAATAACGAACATGGTAAGGTTTATCAACACCCACCTGATCAACAGACAAGACGATCAATAGCGCATAGGCTCGGATAGGTTGGTAAGGCTCGACTTCCTCAGAAACCTACATTTAATCAAGATAATATTTCAAAATACTTATCTCGATAAATTTATACTCAATCGAAAATTTTCGATTAAGTAGCTCGTGGAATTTTGTGGAATTTGGAACTCTCGGATTTAAGGGAAATACTTGAAAAAATATTTTAAAATGGCTAAAAGTAAGTTTGACACGAAAAACAAGGTCAATGATTCGAAAATTGGTCAAACCGCTCGGGAAAATGGATTTCGAGGTCACGACATCGGCACGGGCGCGACAGGTAACGGGCTGGCCGCTGGTGGCTCGCCGGGGCCACTGGGCGCGTCCTGGTGGCAGCTGAGCGCTGCTGAGGGAGGCCGAGGCTCGCTTGGTTACTGGCGGCCGCTGCTGGGTGCAAGTTGGTGGATGCCGGGTGAGCTGAGGCTGGCCGACACGATGCGGGACTCGGCTGCGGGTGTTGCGGTACGTCTGGGGGACACGGGGCTTGGGCGCGCACATAGGCACGCAGTATGCGGCTGGCACGTGACCGGTGCAGCCTACCTGCATCGCTACAGGGGCTCCTGCACGTCAACTGCGCGGTCTGCCACTTGGCAGCGTCATGGCCAGCACCCGCACTGCAGCCTGGCAGTAGGGTATCACAAATGGGCTCGGTTCAAGGGTTTAGGGATCGAGTTTTTACATGAAATGTTTATAGCATCAACATGACACAATAAACAACTAGCATGCAAAAATTTAGGCTCAAATCATGTAGCGCCCCATTTGTTCCGAATTATTTTACAAATTTTTATCTATTTTTATTCATTTATTTATTTTTGTTTGTCCAAATGAATTTATTTATTTTAATCTGTGCTCGTAATTGCTTTAATTGTTATTGTTATAGATAAATAAATAATGGATTTTTCAGATATGTTAGGATTATCATTTTTTTTAAACCTCAAGAGTGAAATAATTATTTGATGATGTATTTATTAGTATGCGCTAATAAATATATACTACGTCGGTTTCGTAAATTTAAGGATTTACGAGTCGTTATATATTTTATTTTCCGAACATTATGTACATTCGGAGTTTATGATTTTGAGCCCGATAAATCAGTAGTCGAAACCCGCCGATTCGTAAAACCGTTGTTTACGAATTAATTGAGATTATTATTATTAATATTATTATTTTAAAATAATGTATGCATTAAATAAATATTTATCGCTTATTATTTTAATTTATCGTGCGATTAATCGAGCCCGAGTATTCCTGCGTGATCCAAACCGGTCCGCGAGCTCAACCAGTCCAAGACCAGTTTCTCAAATTTACGTGATGTGATGTGTGTGCATCTCTTGTGATAAATAGAAAAGTCTAAATACATATATTTTATATTAAAATATAATACTTTCTTCATCCAATTACATACAAAATATGTATCTATCTCTCTTTCACATGAGTTCTTCATTTTTTTCTCCCGACTTGATCCGAAAATCACTCCAAAATCATGTTCTCCTCCCTTTTAAATTAGCATCTTGATCCAATCTCATATCTCAAATCTCTCTTCTTGTCATCATCGTCCCTCATCATTTTTTTTATCACATCGTTGCGCCATCATCTTCTTCACCGGAGAACCACTCGTCGCCGCGACCCCAGAAGCTACGGCGATTCACGAACAGCACCACCCTGAGCTCACCTTCGTGATCTCTATTTGCGAATTCCGGCGAGTGCTCTTCCTTCACGCGAGCATGCCCTTACCGGCGACTTTATTTTCTTTTCCGGCGAGCTTCGCTCAGCCTAGCGGCAGCGACGACCTTCCTCTGCCCTCCTCTGTGAGACGAAGCTAGCCGTCGAGCAACCGCCGTTAGCCACCGTGAGCAGCTTCTTCCCTCGAACTTCCGACGACGAGACCTCCGACGTCCGCCGCAGCAACCAGCGAGCTCCGTCGAGTTCATCCTCCGTCTCGAAGCAACCCAAGCGGTCGAGATCAGCCGCTGCTGCACCTTCGTTCCCGGTGAGATGCAAGAAGCCGTCGAACCGACGTGCCGTTCGTCTCTCTTCGTTTCATTTTTTCGAGTCCCGTTCGGCCAAGCCGTCGTCCGGCCCGTTTTTCCTCCGTTAGCTCGTAAATTTTCGAAAGTGGGTAACTCATTCAAACCCTCTCATTATTCCGGTCGTATTCGTATATTACATGATATATATATATATATATATATATATATATATATTTATATATATCATACGTGTTACCGAATTCTTGTTTGAAGTCGGATTTATTTCGAATGCCTTACCGACTCGTATATGTCGTTGCGTTTATCGAATTATGCTCATGACCTCGTTAAACCGAATATCATGTTTTTGCTGTATTGAACCTCAATGTGCTCTTTTATTTGCTGTCGAGAAAGTATATTGATCGTTGTCGAGTTTCGAACCATCCGTTTTGTATTCGTTGGTATTTTATGTGAAAATACGTTTTTCACCGATCTGTTGTGCCGCGTTTTTAGCTATATGAGACTGGTTATTTGAAAATATGGTATTCACATGAAATGTAGTATGTTCAGTTTTCTAAACGTGGGTTTTGGAATTTTTCGATTCCGAGTTATATCGAATAAGTTGTGATTTTTACAAAAATGTTGCGCGTTCAGTTTTCCTGCTACCCGGCATCATATCTGTAATTAATGTGTGACCTGTTTATCATGTCGTAATATGCTCGTATGAACTTATAATCTTCATGAAAGTTATAGATCTATTTCTTGCCTTTCAAATGAGATAATTTCATGTCGATACGTGCTCTGTAGCTTGAGTTGTGCTCGTATGAAGTTAGATATGCATGAGTTAGGATTTATCACTTTGGCAGAAATCTGATATGAAATGTGAACTGATTTTACCCTATCAAAATGATCTTAAATGCTTCTGTGTTCTAAATAGAAGTTGTAGAGGCATGCGTAAGGTTTAATTTGAGACTTGAACCATGTCATTTGGAGGCCTGTAGCTCGGTCTAGGTTGTAAAATCTGAGGTGCTGTCCATATCACATATTAGTTTTTGACAGTTTTGCTGAATCACATGTTTTGTGTTTAAACTCGTTGATAATGTGATTATTTGCCAATGTAGTCTTCAGCAAAGTCGTAGACATTTGAGTTATCTATCATGTGGTATTTGAATTTTATTGAAAGCATACCTGTAGCTCCAGTTAGATAGTAATTACGGAAGTCTGGTCAAGTCAATTTTCTCTGTTTTGGACTGTGACTCAATTTTGAATGTTTGCTGATTTATCACATGTTAGATGGACTTATTTGCTTTCAGTATCTTCATAAGAATTGTAGAATAATGTCTTAGGATTCTAATGCAACTTGATTCATGTTCATATGAGTTGTGTGCTGAAAGTTCGGTCGATTTTAAAAACGCTGCCCGGGTCAAGTTTCCAAAACTTATGTGATATTTTCGAAAATGTGTTCTCCTTGCTTTAATGCGTATTTAAATGATTATATGAACTTAGTTAGACTTAGTGATGATAGAATAGTCTGTGATAAGGCTATTTTACTAATGTAGGTGTTTGACGAGTCGACCTCGCCGCCCACCTTATTTTGTGTTGATTTTCGATTGCTACCAGGTGGGTTCATTTTTGTTGAATCTACATTTATTGCACTTGTTATTTCATATAAATGTTTGTCGCGATAGCTTCTTTATGCGTGAGAACCCTAGTCTAAGTATCCTGACGGTAGTGCCTTTGACGAATGCATAATCAGTGGAAGTCACTTGCCCGTCGTATCCGGGAGGTGGGCGCCCAAATCCGTGTAGAGCAGAGGGGATTGTCTGAACGCCCGTATTCGTGTAAAGCGGAGGGGTATTTCAACTTCACTGTCTCCTGGATAATATCCTATGCCCGTTGCATCCGAGGTGGGAGTGCTTCCAGTTACATCCTTGCCGATGTCTGGTCGGAAGGTTTGTTGTATGTACATAGGAAGTTTGCGATAGGGCCTAATAGGAAGTTATATCTAGATTCTATGCATACATTAATTATAGTTATGAATCTTTATGCGAAATTACTGTGCGGTAATGGTGAGTATGATGGTTGTACTCACCCCCATTTATTTTTTTTGTCCTCTTGTTCCTCTTCTTATCCTTTTAGGTTGAGCATGGTTGGCGGCAGCAGCGAGAGACGATCGAGTGGTGGTCGTTGGATTGTGTGTTACTTGATTCCGCTTTTACTATCTCGATAGATCATTTGTTTAACTTTGAATAATGATACTTCCGTTTTAATTATTTTGGACATTTTGGTTAGACCTTGGATTTTCCGTTGAATTAATTGTTTGAGGATTATGAATAATTGAAATTTCATTTTGAACTGTTAAATTTTATCCGTGTAAATGTGTATATGTTTTAGTTGTTTAAGTAGCGCCCGTTAAGTGTTAAAAATTTTAATTGAGATTTTGCGAAAAATAAACTCTAAATAAATTCGATAAATTCTTTAAAATAAAACGGGGCGTTATAGATCACGTCCCAAATATTTTATAAATATTTTTGAATGAAAGTCATCAATAGGGCTTAAAAAATTCACCATAATTTCTTATCAGCTCTAAACTCAATCAAGGCCTCAAAAATCTAAGGCCTCAAAAATCAATTCAAGGGAAACCAAAGGTACAAAATTTCCACCAGATTTTACAAGATTAAACAAAATTTCAAGATCAATTGATTTTTTTCCAATAACATCAAATAGATCTTAATTCTGAATATTAGATCTAACATCAAAACTCATGGATCTATAAGATTGCACCAAAAACACATAATTTCGAACGGGGGTTCAAGCCATACACAGGACATCAAGGAATTTATAAGCTAATGGTGGCTGGATCAGGCAAGGGGCAGCAGTGCGCGACCTTGGCTGCAGACGTGCGTACGGGGAGAGCTGAGGCTCGATGGATCTCCGGTCACCAGGGCTGCTCGCGATGGACTATAGCTAGACAGAGGTCTAGGGACGAGGACCTGCAGCAGGGCTCGCGAGATGAAGGTGGTGCGTTGCTGGGGCGTCGCTACGGCTCACGTGGGCGGCGTGCGCGGCAGTGGGCGGGTTGATGGCCGAGAAAAGAATGTTGAGAGAGAGGGTGAATTTTTTTTTGAATTTTTGAGAGATTATGAGAGATATGAGAGAGGCTATAGTTTTCAAAATTTTCTTAAGGCATGGGAGGGAGGAATGCCGTGTGAGAATGATGTATAAGGAGGGGGATTGATCTCTCAAATTAATGAGGAAAATCATGGTTATTTCCTTACCATAAATGAGTATCAATCTATATATATATATATATATATATATTAAAACGGAGCAGCTGCCAAATTTGCGCTCAAACTTACATTAATTATTGTATTAATTGTAGGATAATTTATTTCACGTTATTTAAGATATTGTCTAAACTTTAAATCTGTATTGTAGCTATTAATTAACTTATGTATTGATTGCAATCTTGGGTAATTAATTGCCTATGCTTGGAAAATAAATAAGACATCGGAAATGTTAGATTGTAATTGTACATTCATAAGGGTCATATAGTAATTAATATTTATAAGTACATGTGAATACACATTAAATTTTGTAGATAATTTGCATACTAAAAGTATTTAGAGCCCTATTGGAATTGTATATAATAGATATAATATTATTGGGAATGTTGAATAAGTTGGTAACTGTTTAGAATGTTGTGCTAATTCTACACATCTCAATACAATTAATAATTTATAAAATAAAAAAAAATTAATAATGATTAATGTCAAATTATTTATTAATTGTCCTCAGTTGATTAATCCATTAAATTTTCAAAACCATCCACTTTGGGTTTTTTCAATTATAAAACCATAATATCTTTTCATTATAGAACCACAATATAAGGACTTAATGTAGTCTTAATTTTATTTATACATCTATCACAATCGTGGGCTATTTTGAAAGTATATATTCTTAACCACATAATATAAAATCTAACATTGTTAATTATATAATGCAGCAAAATAAAGTTAATAAAATTTACAAGATTCAAATATGTCATTTTTATATGATGTCTTTATGTATACATTGAGTACATTTTTTGCTGCAAAACATTATAAATTTGTCAAATCCTCTGTAGATAATTTAAACAATATCAATAAATTATTTGTTGTAAAGACTTAATTTGAAAATATCAATTTATTGTGAATCTGCCTTCTAATTTTTAATTTATTTTTTCCATTTCTTCTCTTTGTGAGTAACATAATTTTTTTGTTATAAATAAATACTTAATTTTTATAAAAAAAATATTATTATGAACTTGCATTACAATTTTACGTTATTTTCATTTTTCTATTTTTGTGTGTGAGTTCCTTTTTTATATATTATATTTTTTTATTTTCAAAACAAATGACACAATCTCTTTTAGTTTAGATTATTTTTCAAAGAAAATTTCAAGGTAGTATAGAACATTTATTTTAATGTAATATCCATATATAATGTAACAACTTAATAATTTTTTATATTTTATATTTATATTGCATATAGTATCGATAAAATTTTAAAGTTGTGCTTGAATTTATGATTGCATCATTTAATTTAACACACATGATGTTATCTGAATATTATGTAGTACCACTAAGTCATATTTATCCACATACTTTGTTATGATGGAATTTTCATACACATTAAGAAAATGTACAATCTCTTCTAATTTAAAAGTGTATCTACTCAATTTTTTTAAGTATCTATATAGTACAATAAGTTAACTAAAATATCTATACACCAAATATCAAAATTGGATATTTTTGGTTGGTTTAGCTTTTAATAAGACTCAAAATTCTCATTGTTTGGTTGGTTTAGCTTTTTTAATAAGACTCAAAATTCTCATTGTTTTCCATCACAAAAAAGTTTCACACAACATACTATAGATACAACAATTATTTTTTCTGTATTATACATCACAATTGTTAGTTTTA